AATGAATTATTGTTTTTGAAGAAACATCTGAAATATCTGCTGAATTTGGTTTCTTCCCTGTGAGTACCAAAATGAAAGCACACTGAGCTTGTGCTAGTACATTCCGTCGGTTAAAATCTTATATTATTTCATTTCTTTATTTATTTGCTTCATTTGTGATGGCAATCTTCTATTGTTGAGGGAAGACCTGAGCCAGCTTTGAAGAGATTTCACTGGTCTCAGCGTGTCGATCGACAAGTACTTATAACTTATCGATCGTGTTTTTCACTTTATGCAAGAACCGCTGACGAGTATATAGGTTATTAATTATTTTTAGTGCCAGCGGTTTTCCAGTTATAATTAAATTGCAACCTGCAACCTGCAAAATATACCTGCCGGGCAGGAGTGAAGATTCCTTTTTGATGAAGCCTACTGTCTATCTGAAATATGCCGTTTTTTGGTACAGTTGTCACAACCCTGACTTTCATCAAAACCCTAACAAACTATGTATCACTGAAAAGCTAATTACCCCTACCCCACCCTCAACCCCTTATCAATACACTAACCATAGACAGGTTTCTACCTTACCCTTTTCAATATAATCCCAAGCAAATATCATTACATTTACTGCAACCAACATTTGAGAACGAAGATTGTTTCCTTTCTATATATATTCCCAAACAAATATCAGCACATTCCCTACAACCAACAATTTCCTTTTTGCTTTTCTACAGCTATAACAACTTAAACTCTTATGGAACTAGATCACATCCCAACTTTATAGTTTTTTAACACCCGCATATGGCAACAATCAAGACAACAAATTACTGATGAATGCCTACAACTTTTCTACTTACTTAATGGAGATGTCTTCTATTCCATCCAAACCTGGCCCACCAACATTCAACAACTTTTCTGGAAGGAACCAACAGGAGACAATGACTCTTTCAAACTTACGTTATTTTTCATTGGCAACGGCTGTTCACCAGAAGTTATTGCAAAATGGATCTTAACCTCTCAACATTGGGCTTCACATTCCAAAGAAGAAAAGAGAGTGAGGCAAACTGATTTCATTGTGCAAAACCTCACTTCCAAAGCCCACATCTGGTTTTATTTTGACATTCATCATGGTCAATGGCTTTATCTGAATGGAGAAAAAAGAGATTCGATCAATCCATAATCACTTATAAATTTGTATTAGATAGAACAGTCTTATTTACCACAATCTGCATCAGTTATATCAAATTTTGTACAACACTGAGTAACTATGCTTTTTCATTATACAGGATGGACAAAAATGATAATAATAACAACTAACTGACCAAATATACTGTCCCTTATACACAAAACTTAACTTTTTAACTATTTTGACATAACAATATATGCCCACTACCCAAACTATACTACCTTACAGTCAACCCCTATTTTACATATTCTCATGTTGCATACACGGCTTGAACAAACCTATATAGCTAACCCCATTAAATAAAACCATGAAACAACCACCACCACCACCATAATTACACCTTAGGTATTTGTTTTTCAGTTAGAGAAAATTTGTCACCCCACCCTAAGTACCCCTACAAACCCCTAAATTATTTCTACCATTATGATAACCTTCATCAAACCTCCAGCATTTAGTGCACTGTTTTACACTCAAGTTTTCTTCATTTAATTTTTTTTATTTTTTTTACGTAATTTATCTCGTTTGGTTGTTTGTTTGTTTGCTTTGTGTGCTGCCTTGTGGTTGACGTGGCTGCACTGCAGTTTGTTGGTCCCTCAACGTTTGCACACAGATTAACACTTAACCAGCCATTTTTATTTATTTAACTTTTCAATTTTTCATTTATTTTTATTTAGTTTTTTATTTATTTTATTTATTTATTTTGTGTGCTACCTTGTGGTTGACGTGGCTGTATTGCAGTTTTTTGGTCCCTCGACATTTGCACACCAATTAACACTTAACCAGCCATTTTTATTTATTTTATTATTATTATTTTTAATATTTTTTTTTTGTACTACCTTGTGGTTGACATGGCTGCATTGCACTTTGTTGGTCCCTAAATGTTAGTGCAAAATTAAGCAACTAATCTTTATTATTTTGAATGATTTTTGTCTGCAACCCCCCACCTCCCAGCCCCACCAATACACTGCACTTTTAATTTCAACCACCATATTTTTTCATCATTTAAGAGAGAACACATCTATCCTGTTTGCCCTTTTCCCAAACTTTACACAACCCCTAAGGAATCTTTTTGCCCTTTTCCCAACCTAACACAAACCCCAAGGAACCTTTTTGCCCTTTTCCCAAAAAACCTAACATAACCCTAAGGAACCTTTTTGCCCCTTTTCCGAAACCTAACATAAACCCTAAGGAACCTTTTTGCCCTTTACCTAAACCTAACACAAACCCTGAGGAACCTTTTTGCCCTTTTCCCAGAAAACCTAACATAACCCTAAGGAACCTTTTTGCCCCTTTCCCGAAACCTAACATAAACCCTAAGGAACCTTTTTGCCCTTTACCTAAACCTAACACAAACCCCAAGGAACTTTTTTGCCCTTTTCCCAAAGCTAACACAAACCCTAAGAAACCTTTTTAGCGGAGCTCCGGCGGCCCGAAGGGCCGCCAAGCGGAGCCCCATACTCATATGGGAAAGAAAAGGAAGGTGCGCGCAGATCCCAAGACTTACGGTCTCCGTCCCCGATTATGGCTCCTGGTGACACGCAATGAAGGACATTAATGCAATGCATATAATTCTTGCTGAAAGTGTTGGCACATTTGCCAAATATCTTCCGTACTTCGATTTCCCTCAATTCCCGCCAACGATGAGCTCTCAAGCATCCTGGACGAATAATATAATTTTTCACGTTGTTATTGTAAGATAGTTTTGTGCTGATATGTAGATTCGTTGGTATGCAGGCTACGTAAGTATGCTAAGAAGTTAATACACCTTTTGTTGTTCATTCACAGAAAATATCCATTCATTTGAGCCCAATTTTTTTTCATTATGGTCAATATACTCTCATTAACACCAATATGACCTTCATTTGCGGTTAAGGAACGTTCAAGAATAACTTTTGCATACGCATTAACATTCAAAATCATCAAAAGATAAACAATACCTTCCTTTGACATTCATTGGCTGTAAATGTATTTTCGTTTTTGTGGAAATAAAATTCGTTGTCACGAAACGACAATCCTTTACACTTTTGGACAAACCTTTTTCAACAAAAGACTTTCAATAACAGAATTTGCATGAAAACTCACAATTAACTGCACTATTATACAACCATATCCACGAGGGTGACAATCTTAAGTGCGGTGAGACAAACATTACAGCCATAGTAACATTTATTTTTGGAAGAGAGAATATCAAATTTGTTGAACGATTTATCTCTCAATTGCCTCACTATTGAGGCATCGTGGCAAATATGTTTCCGTGAAACAATACCATTGTCCACATTTAGGCCCTGATTATCCTTTCGCTGTGTTCAAATGGGATTCTATTTCTTCATACATGGCATTTGTGAGGAAATCTAACTGTCACTTTATCACATGTACATGTATACTGTAGTGCGTCCTCTGAGTTGGGCGCAAAAGATTCGTAGGAGGCTGAATTTATATCTGCAAGGGGAGGATCGTGAAAATACGATTTAAAAAAAGGTACATACGGCCCCTAGTTCTATAATCAAATTTTCGAGCAAAATTGGGCGCGATATCTTTGTTTACGATATCTCTCCGTTTATCTCTGAATTACGCTAATGGACTATTGTTTTCTCTTAAAACGTTGGGTGAAATCACGGTTATGTCTGTCTCAACGCACTAAAGATTGTCACCTTCACGGATATGTTTGTAAAGTAATGCAATTGATTTTGAGTGCTCATGCAAATTGTGTTATTGAAAGTCTTTTGTTGAAAAAGGATTGTCTAAAAGTGTAAATGATTGTCGTTTCGTAACAACAAATTTTATTTCCACAAAAATGAAAACACATTTACAGCCAATGAATGTCAAAGGAAGGTATTGTTTATCTTTTGATGATTTTGAATGTTAATACATATGCAAGTGTTATTCTTGAACGTTCCTTACGCGCAAATGAAGGTCATCTTGGTGTTAATGAGAGTATTTTGACCATAATGAAACAAATTTGGACTCAAATGAATGGATGTTTTCTGTAAATGAACAACAAAAGGTGTATTTAAGGAGTTTGTCCGTTAGGAGTTGTCACTTCGACGGCATCTCCGCTTTTGGTCAGTTCATTTTGGAAATTTTGTTTTTGTAAATTTCGTGCTATGCCTGATCCACCGCCGAAGACTGCATCATCCCGGCCTCAGTCGATAGACGTTTCTAATTCTGACACGATCTCGCTGATTTCTTCCCTCCTTGATGCGAAGTTGCAGAAAACGTTTGATGATTTCAAGCGCTCTTTAGACGAACGCGAGGTTGAGACTCGGCGAGAATTGAAGAAATTGAAAACAGACTCTAAGGCAGCTAGTTCACTTCAGTTTAAAGGTAACAGAATCCAGTTTGAGTTTAATACACAGCTCCTTGACTGCCTTGATCTGGCTATCTCTAATTTGTCCGAGGGAAACCTTCTGGCTGTTCAAGAACATTTCATAAAGGCCAAGTCTGACCTCGAGAAACGCATTAAGTTGATCCGCTTTGCTGACAAAAGTCCCGCTGGCTGGGCTGCAGTTGAGGAATATGAGTCCGACGAGCTTGCCGAAAATTCTGAAGACGAGAAGAAACTTCGAGGGGCTGAGCGACGTGCGCTTACCAATATTAAACAGAAGTCTTCCAAACCTCGTGTTTCAAGGTTTTCAAGTCCTCCTAAATCCCGAGATTTTCAAGCTACACAAGGGTCTGGGTCTTCTACCTCTGCTACATCTCTTCCATTTTCTGCTCACTCTAATTTTCGTCAGCCCTTTCGTGCCGCCCGACAAGTCAAGCCTTCCGACGTCTGCTTTAACTGCATGCAATCAGCGAGGACACTGGGCTATTTCGCCAGCCTGCCATCTTTTCTATAAGAGAATAGGTAGTTTCACCAACACTGGCGCCAGTTCAACGTGCACAAAGTCAACCACCGTCTGATTTGGCAAATGTTATTGCAAGATTAGGTCCAGATAAGAACTCTAACTTCAGTCTACTTTGACTTGGATCACATTTCTCTTGATTCTAGCTTTGCTGAATATTTTGAAGGCTCTAGTCAGGTTATTGTTAAGGATAGGCTTAAAGCTAATATTTCTTTTTGGCAAAGCGTTGGTGCCTCTAAGTTTATTTTAGATACTTTAAGTTTTGGTTATAAGATCCCCTTTTCACGGGAACCTACAAGTGTTTTTCTTACTAATAATCGCTCAGCTTTGGATGAGAGTGATTTTGTAAAATCTGCTATTCAAGAGTTACTTAGTGTTGGCTCTATTGTTTCGTGTACTTGCCCGCCTGAAGTGGTCAATCTATTGTCTGTCTCTGTACCGTCAAGTGGTAAGAAGAGGCTCACATTAGACCTCAAGCATGTTAATTTCTTTGTAAATAGGTCCAAAATTAAGTTTGAGGATGCCCAGTCCATGCTAAATTTTTTCATCGGCGATTCTCCTTCTAATTTGTGAGTTTATTATTTCGATATTAAGTCGGGGCATCATCATGTTGAAATTTACCCCTCACATCAAAGATTTCTCGGTTTTTCGTGGGTTTTCAATGGTGTTCGAAAATATTTTAAGTTTGTCGTTCTGCCCTTTTGTCTTTCTACGGGCCCTTACATTTTCTCCAAAGTTATGCGTCCCCTCGTCAAGCATTGGCGTGGTTAGGCCATCCGCATTGTAATTTATTTAGACGATGATTTAGGAGTATGTGGTTCGAAGGCTACTTGTCTTCGACAATCTTTGTTGGTGCATTCTGATTTGATTAGCTCGGGGTTCGTTCCAAATAGGATAAATGTATGTGGATCCCTATTCAGTTGCTCTACAGGCTTGGTTTTCATTAGGATTTTGCTCGGGGTTTATTGTCTATTCCTGAAGATAAGATATTAATTTTGCTTGCGTCCATTTGGGAGGTTTCTAGTTCTCGTATAGTTACTGCAAGGATGCTGGCTCAGGCTATCGGGCGTATCATTTCTGTATGTTTGTTTTTTGGCCATATTTGCAAGATTATGACGAAAGCACTGCATCTGTCATTGACAGCAGAGCATATTGAAGCGCCAGGGTTTTTCTTACTATTGAAGCTATTTCTAAGTTAAATTATTGATGTTCCAATGCTCGAGCACTTAGATAATTTAATTCTAGACCTTTGGTCCATCCAGTTAATATCCCTCACCACATTGTATATTCCGACGCTAGTGAAGCTGCTTGCGCTTCTTGTATTTATGTCCAGGTCGCCGGAGGGGTTTCCTGTTGCCCACAAGAATTTTTATGATCTTGAAATGAAGCAAAGCCCCACTTGGAGGGAATTGATCATGAAGTCTGCTGGTTTTGCATTAAAAAGTTTTGCTCTCATTTTGCATAATTCCTCTATTAAGCTTAATACTGATAATAAAGCCGTAGCGTTCATTACAGATTCTGGGAGCAATAAGCCGCATTTGAATGCTATTGCTAGGGATATCTTCTGTTTTACTTCTGCTCATGGTACTAGGTTGTCAGTGGAATGGATTCCCCGTAGGCGTAATCAGAAAGCTGATTATTACAGTAAGATCGTTGATTTTGACGACTGGTGTGTTTCCAACGATTATTTTCGTAAAATTGATTCTTAATGGGGTCCTTTCACCGTAGATTGTTTTGCAAGTTATGCAAATACCAAGTTGACTAGGTTCTATTCGCGCTTTTACAGTCCGAACACTTTGGGTGTAGATGCTCTTAGTCATAGGTGGGAAGGTGAAAACTGTTGGCTGCTCCCTCCCGTTAGCCTTGTCACCCGAGTTATTGAGCATTTCAAATTATGCAAGTGCGTAGGCGCGCTTGTGGTCCCTTATTGGTTATCTGCCATTTTTTNTCTGGGTTAGCTTAATCGGGCTTTGAACAACCCGGCCCAGGAGCTACGCTTTTAGGCTGGCCTAAATCTATATATTACCCTTTTTCCAACCTAACACAAACCCAATGGAACTTTTTTACCCTTTTCTTAAACTCAAAACTAACCCAAAAAACCTTTTTGCCCCTCTTTCCTAAACCTAATACTAACCCCAAAAAACCTTTTTACCCTTTTCCCAAACCTGAACCTAACCAAAAGTAACCTATTTCCCCTTGCTTTTCATACTATTTCACACTTATGGTTGCTTTCAGTTAACCTATTAACATTTCCTTATTTTATTTCAATTTGTTTTTTTATTCTGTAATTGAGCTGGAGAGTGCTGTGTTACAGAGGTCACTCCCTCAATTTAACCAAAAATATTAACATTTCATTTTCTTTAAATTTATGTTATACACACACATTCCCACCCTCACATACACAACATACCTATTTCCCCACTGATTTCTTATCAGTGGAGTGGGAACCCTATTTTAGGGATTCCATTTTCAACACCTATAATACCACAAAGGTTGCTAGTTTTACTACTGATAAATAAATATGTATAAAAATTGTCTTTTTACTTGTATAATTTCTAAAGTAAACAAATGTCCAGCTGTAATGAATGAGGGATTTTGCAAAATTTGAAAATGCAGAACTCTGACAACTATATATCTAACGTTGCGCAATTTCAATTGTGAAACATTTATTTTGATAACTTCTATCCTAAGAATTACATGGCAAATTCCCTCATTCATAACAATAAACTTTGTGAGTTCTAGCAATCCTGAAAACTTGAGGTCAAAAGCTTTTAAAACCCTTCTTGAGATATCTTTCCTCAAAGGCAAAAATAACTCGTTTTGAGAAAACGAGCTTTGAACTTGCTTCTCCAAATCGAGCTTCAATATTCAATATTTGATTCCAGTAAAAGCAAAAATTCCAAGTTTTTACAGAATTTCAGGTAGAATCCACCCTTAACACGCAACACTTATGAAAGTTCATTCACCAGGCCTACGAGTTTGTCCAAATCACTTTGTAGGCTAAGTACATCTGCCTGGTTGTGTATTACTGCATACAATAGTGTCTCTTCAGCAAACAGTTTTAAATGTGATGATATATTGCTACCCATATCATGTACATAGAGTAAGAGGCCCAAGGACTATTCCCTTGTGGACTCCCGGTAGAACCTTGGAATCAGTACTGCAGTGGCCCTCAAGGATCACTTGTTATGTTCTATTTACCAACCACGCCAGCTAAATCGGCGAGTCTCCTGCTTCTAATTTGTGGGCTTATTCTTTTGATATTAAGCCAGGGTATCATCATGTTGAAATTAATACCCCTCACACTAAAGATTTCTCGGGTTTTCATGGGTTTTCAACGGGTTTCGTAAATATTTTAAGTTTGTCGTTCTGCCCTTTGGGCTTTCCACAGGCTCTTTTATTTTGACCAAAGTTATGCGTCCCCTGGTCAAGCATTGGCGTAGTTAAGCCCTCCACATTGTAGTTTATTTAGACGATGGCTTCGGGGGTATAGGGTTTGTAGCCACGAGAGTTAAATTTTTCCGTGTTTGGTCGCCTTTTCTTTTTTGTTTTGTCTTTGTTGTTAAAGCTTAATTTTTTGCGTACCTTTTTTGTGCAGTTTTAAATGCAAATTAGTTTTTCACGTCGTGTTATGTAATCGTCTATTGTTTATCACGTAACATCGTTAAGTTTATTCTTTTAGTTCAAAATTCCGTTTAAAAGCGTTGTAGTTTTTTAGTTGTATTCAGTCGTTGTCAGTTGCGGAGTGCCGTACAGATCTTGTAAGTAATCTCGTTTTTCCTGTCTATTTTTTGCTGTTTTCCGTATTGTTGTATTTTCAGTTTATTTAAGTTTAAGTTGGTATTTATTAATTTCTGTATTTGTTATTTTGGTTTTAAGTGAATCATTAGAATTAAAGACGAATTCGAAACGTACAGGAGTGTTATTTACAGGGTTCAAAGGATACTTGCCTCCAACAATCTTTTTTGGTGCATTCCGATTTGACTAGCTCGGGGTTCGTTCCAAATAAGGGTAAATGTATGTGGATCCCCTGTTCAGTTGCTTTGTTGGCTTGGTTTTCATTAGGATTTTTCCCGGGTGCTGGCTCGGGTTACCTGGTGAGTAATTTCCTGTATGCTTGTTTTTGGTCGTATTTGCAAGAGTACGATGAAAGCACTGCATTCTGTTGTTAACAGCAAAGCACATTGGAACGCCAGGGTTATTCTAACTACTGAAGCTATTTAATAACAACAACAACAACAACAACAACAACAACAACAACAACAATAATAATAATAATAATAATAATAATGACTTTATTACCGTGTCAATAACATACAGAAAAGTCCTATAAGAGAAATAAATTTATGAGTTACAAAGATGGCAGCAACTACATCCATGTAGGATGTTGTCTAGATCTAACCTCCGTACGTGGGTCTAAGTTAAACTACTTGAGATTTGTCGCCGATCTTTCTTTATTTGTTAGTTTGCTCCATGGTCTTGGTCCTAGATATCGAATTGAATGTTTTCCATACGTAATAGTGTTAAATCTAGGAAAATGAAAATCTCTCTGCCGTAAGCTGCAAGTGCGGCTATTAGTACAAAACATGTTACAAATAGTCCACGGGCACAAATTATGTTTATCCTTATACATTGAAAGACATGTCTTGAAGTCTCCTATTATACAATGTTGGTAGACTGGCTTTTTCTAACAGCTGCTGGTAGCTAGACAACTTATCTCTAATTAACAGCATGCAGTCCTCACTCCTGTACTCTCTCTAATCTACGAGTGTCCGAGGCTCTGCAAAAATGCCACACTTGGTGGCAATATGTAAGATGAGGGAGAATAGCTGCTTTGTAGAGGTGTAATTTGGCCTCAGTTGGTATAAGATTACTCAACCTCATGACCACTCCACTCTCTGGCTAGCTTTCTTACAGACATTACTAATATGCACATTAAAATCAAGACCGCAATATATCGTTATGCCCTGGAGCTTCAGATTTTCTGATATCATTATAGCGGAGCTCCTACGCGCCGAAGGCGCGCGAGTAGAGCCCCTTACCTTGGAAAATTTGGTAACCCATCGATCTGAAAAATTTTGGTTGTCACGTGACTGTCCGTCCATACGTCAATACCTTTAAAGCTAAGAGTAGCACCATCACCATAGATACATCTTTGATTTTGGGCGTCCACACTATTGTTAATTGACAGCTGCCACAACAAGCTATCCGCTGACCACTATCACGTGACAATATCGTGGACTCAGGTTTAGAGGTTGCGTGTTTTGAAAAGTTGACCGCTGACCAGTTACTGGTTTACCGATTGGATCGCGGGCTCAAGTCACGTTATTTCTCATACCCGGGGAGAAAGAAGGAATACTCGCAAAGGCAAAATTTCAGCCCAAATTAACCCCTGGTGCAATGTTGACTTTTCTTCTGACATATTCCTTGTACAATCCTCTCTTGGAATATCTCCTCCGCAGCCGTTATTAGGGTCGTCACGCAGAAGCGTTGCGTGACGACCCTAATAACGGCTGCGGAGGAGACTCTTGGAAAGTCTCTGATGTTTTGCGTACGTAATTTCTACAATCTTGGTTAGGCTTGTTGGGTATAGTTTGTTAAAATTTAACTGGAAAATAGCGAAACCACACGGCGGCCTGAACAATTACATGCTCACAATTGATAATTTTTTGAGTTTCTGATCCAAGAAAAAATAGTTCTCTTTTTCCTTTATCGTCAGTCATTGCAATCAGGAGCCCCGCTTTTTAAGGCTTGGCTAAATCTATATATTATCCTTGCCGTTAACAGTTAGACACATTTTGTCTCCATAGGTCACACTTTTATTCCAAATACTCATCGTTTGATATTTCTTTAGGTTACCCTGAAGGAGGTTCGAATCATACCAATTGGTCGCTAGGTTGGCACTCTTCTGAAGTTTTGCAAGTACAGCACACAAGTCATGTTTTGCCCTTCCTCATAGATTTGATGATCGTCCGCGTAGTGTGGGAATATACAGTGTGATTTAAGGGATATTTACTGGAAAGACAAAAGGTCTAGAATTAAGTGCTCGAGCATTGGCACTCCAGTAATTTAACTCGGAACTCTAGTGATTTACTTGTGCAACTGCTTAGGCAGAGTGCACATTGGGTCGGTAACTAGCTCATGGAGAAATGTGGAACGTGGGTGTCCTCAGGGATCCGTGTTAGGACCACTATTGTGGAACATCTTTCAGAGTGATTCTTGCTCCCGATTATTTTCTTTCACATTCTGTCTCAGTTAAACCCTCTCTTGAAAACATTACATTATCAACTCCGCTATCGTTTGTTGATATAACAATATAGCAATGAGTTCATACAACATAAGTAAAGTTGCTCGCGCTTCTTATATTTATGTTGAGGTCGAGGGGTTTTCTGTTGCCCACAATAATTTTGATCTTGAAATGAAGCAAAGTTCCACTTGGAGGAAATTAAAGTCTGGTAGTTTTTTGCGTTAACCAAAAATGTATGAATTCCTTCATCGAGGCAAATTTTGCTCGTTAGAGACTAAGAATGGTCAATTGGGCCGATTTATGGCGAAAAAGGAAGTTTTGGAGAAAATTTGTGCTTTTCTTTAACCCTTTGAATACCAAACTTTAGCCAAAAAATACCGTTTTTAACCGTTTAGTCAGGTTTTTTAGCTGCCATGACGCTAAATAAGCCTAAGTTTTGCCAAGAAAGCTTTTTTTAACTAAAAGGAGAGATTTTTCGAGGATTAGGCACAAAATTGAACAAAATTTCAATTCCGGGCATGCACATAAGCCCAATTTTTTTTTTTGGCCATGAACCGTTCTCAATTTTGTTTGTTGCCCCCTTCCTTTCTGTTTTCCTCAGCCCTTTTACACTGGCTATCTTTTGCGTTGTATGTTCTTTCTGGCTGCCGTGAAAAGTTGGATGTTAAGCCTAGAAATGGACCTTGATCGATCATAGGCGTAGTGAACCATTTTACCACCGTTTTTGCACCAAAACTGATAACGTTGTTTTTCGATTTGCGACGTCGGAATGTCGTCGATATCTAAACCTGACCATTGTGCGGAAAGGCCTAGCCTAGTACTACTATCTGCTTATCAAAAATATCTGATGACATTTAAATTGATGACGTCACAAGTGGCACAAAGAGCGCGACCACTAAGTGGCCGTATATGGCCAGTTGGGCGTCAAAGGGTCAAGAAGTTTTGCTCTCATTTTGCGTAATTCTACAATAATATATAGATTTAGCCAAGCCAAAAAGCGGAGCTCCTGATTGCAGTAATTAATAAAGAAAGAGAGGATTTGTTTTTTTCCTGGATCAGGAACTAAAACCTGATCAATTGTGAGCATGTAATGGTCCGGCATGTATGTGGTTTCGCTATTTTTTTCTAATTAAATTTTAACAAACCATACCCAAATAAGCGCAAGATTGTAGAAATTACATACGCAATATATCAGGAACTTTCCAAGAGACGACTGTGCAAGGAATATGTCAGAAAAAAAGTCAACAACGCGCCTGAGGGGTTAATTTGCGCTGAGGTTTTGCCTTTGCACGTACTCCCTCCTTCTCCCCCAGAGTAAAACCTGATTTGAGCCTGCGATCCAAACGAAAAACAGTATCCAGTCAGCTGTCAACTTAAAAAAAACGAGATCGATAAGCGGACAGCTTGTTTTGACAGCTGTCAATTAAATTAACCATAAAATGGATGTCCAATCTCAAAGATGTACATATGGTAATGGTGCTACTCTCTCTCTTTTTTTTCTTGGTATTGTGCTTGGCGTACGGGCGTATGGACAGTCACGTGACAACCAATTTTTTTAAGATCGATTGAGTACCAAATTTTCTGTGGTATGGGGCTCTACTCGTGTGCCTTCAGCGCGCTGGAGCTCAGCTAATAACGCCGTAGCGTTCATTACAGATTCTGGGAGCAATAAGCGGTCATAAGCCACATTTAAATGCTGTTGTTATGAGAAAATTCGCTGTTCCACAGACATTTCTTTATTATTTGGAAAATTATAGGAAAAAACCGACAGTGACCTCTTTTCAGTTAACAGCTAGAAATCTTAAGTTTTGTTCTTCTTTGTACTTTGCCGATTCTTTGTGCACCTGAGCGTGTGCAACGCTGTTTCACTAACTTTCATTTAGAAAACAAATAGTTCATTAGCAGCTCATTTGAGTTTCTTTTCATTATTAAAATCTACCTTCCGTTCCCTCAGAAACTAGCCAGCTGAACTACTTTTCAGTAATGAAGTTTTATTAGTTTCCTGGGAAGTTAGCCAGCTAAACTACTTTTCACTAATGGAGTTTTAATGCTTTCTATTCATTGGATAACTTTCCCTTGCTGTCGGTAACACCAATTCAGAATTTCAAATTAAGTATCTCACTTTTAATTTCCTAAGTTTGTTCTTTCTTAATCTCAGCCTGTGAATTTTAATCTTA